CCCCCCCCTCCCGCCCCCACTCCGCTCCACTAGTCTAAGACATGTGTTGCTGTGTGATTGGGAAGAGCTAAGGATCACCGTTACTGGCCGTTGTTGTAAATTTGAAAAATCAGCGTGTACAGTGTGTCATAGTTTTTCATAATGACTGAAATGTCCAAATTTCATTTCATCTTGCGCTTTTTTTTCCTCTCCTCTGCCTCATTGTTTTTTGCCTTTCCTTACGTTCGTTCGATTTCAGTTTCCCCGTCCATTTCAGCTTTTCAGGTTCTCGCGCTTTGACCGCTTTCCATGCTTAATCTGTGTCACTTCTCAATGTTTTTCAAAGATTGTTTGGTCTATTTAAACGTTTCACAATTGAGTTAACCACTGACAAGCTAAATGAGCAATTAATTGTAATATTTCCCGGAAATTTCCGCTTCTCTCAAGACCTGTCTGCAGAAGCCTGTGAAATGGTCGCAGTGACTCAAATTGTTGTAGACGGTTTTCGAGGACTTCACCTTTTCCCCTTCTCCAGACTACAGCAAGTCGTTTAGTGCCAAACTCTTTGGACACGCTTCCCTAGCAGTTTAAGTCGCTGATTGTATAAATATGCATATTGCACAGTTAGAGTATTTTTATGCACTGTGTCATTCGGATCAGCTTATTATTATGGGTAGTGCTGCTCCTTCATACTTCTTTCTCATGTATCCGATTCTTCCGTGTTGTTGCATGGACTGGAGCAAAAATTGTTGATATTTGCATATTTCCTTTTGCACAGCAAATAGTTGCCTCGGTTCTGTTTAGTAGCCTTTTTTTTTTTCATCATTTTCCGTGTTACGTTTTTCGTTCTGATATTTTCTTCGTTTTCAATGATAAATTTTTTCCAAAAACTCATGATTGTGCAGATGTTTTTACGGAAAATCCTGTTAATATTATGGTGATCGTGTTAAAAAAAAGCAGCGCGGCCCAAGACATCAAATTTAGTGTGCAGCAGCTGCATGCCAGATACGATCACTGGATTCGGTGCAATTGTCCCAATTTCCAAATTATCCTGAAAAATGACTAATTAGTATACCTGAGTCTTGTATTTCGCACGGAGTTGTCGGAACATTTGTCCGCTACCTCATCCATGCATTGCCACTGTGCGATCTGGCGCTGATTTTGTGCCACTTTGACATAGTTTTGCAAAAGTATAACAAACTTAATTCAGCTGCGTGACCTTTGGTCCTGTTCCAGGCAGTTGAACTTGTTTACTTGCCGTAACCGAACATTATCTCAAGGAGCGCAACAAAAAACAGTATGTGCGTTTTGGGGTGGCGAGAAGTTAAGCTGACAAAGTCGTACACTTTATTTGTAGACTGCTCCTGCAATGCATGAAACTGCGGGTGAAATCCGTCACTGTGTGGTGTTACCGAAGGCCGGTGATTTGACGTAGCGACGCACTTTCCGAGGGAACACTGACAATAAAGTATGGGATCTTAAGGAATTTGTGCCTGTGCAATGTAGATGATCAGTTGCAATTCATGGCGTGTTTCAACATCTGCGGATGAAAACTTTTATAAGTGCTGTGAACAATCCCGCACCCCCTGTCGGTCAGTCTGCTGGTGTGCTGTTACCGTCCGTTTCGTTCCCTGAAAGGACTGTCAACTCAGTGGTTCTCCTCACAGAAACACTTGAAAGGGCTTATGCTTAGCTGCAAGATATCATTGAATGTATGTTAAGCATCACCATTTCGTCCAGGTCGTTGGCACCCCATGATCACGAAACAGGTACCTCACTGGACTTACGGGAGACCTTTGCTGGCCTTGCCTTACTTTTCGGGATCTATGCCCTTCGTCCCTTTCTTTTCCTGTGACAAGTCATTTCAGAATATTGTCTCGGTAGGGGTTCTTAACCATTCACTGCTGCCGGTTAAAAATGTCTAGAGTACAAGGACAGGTGACTATTTGGTGCTGTTAGAGAAGGTACCGTATTGTAGAAGCTGTTTATGTCGTGCGAAAGAGAAAATGCAAGAAATGGGTCTGGTCATTATTGTATACATGTAGAGCTACCTAATTCCCCTACTGGGGAGTTGGCCTGAACAGCAAAAATATTATATAAATCAGGTGCTCGTCGGGATGATGACCGCTGAAGATGAGAAGATCCCGAACAGCCTTCGATGCCGAATGGCTGTCGAGGACGTTGATCAGTTGAAGCCAAACGCTGAAACTGAAAAGCAAAGAGCTCTTAGAAATGTGAACACTAACCTGTCCCATAATTCCTGGAAACCAAGAAGTCATGAAGCAAGAAAAGCAGCTCCATCTCTAATCATCAGCAGCATGCAACCGAGGCCAAATTCATTTAGCTCGACTAGAGCGGAGTGCTTGGAATTAGCTGACGGACAGTATTCTTCACAATTAGCGATCCGGATTTGAGAATCGCATCCCCCCTATTGACGGCGGGTCTTTCTTTTGCTTTTGCTTTTTTCTGGCTCCATTTTTTTCGTGTTCTGGGATCCCAAAACAAGCGCTGATAGAAACAAAATGGGCGTTTGCGAATCCTCACATAAGAATATACATACATAAACAAGAAAAGGAACACATGGCACTAGAACATTTATACTGCAACTCCGAGACATTGGAAAAATTTTTAAAATGCCTATTGGAGTTATAGCTGCAGAAGCATTCAATCCTATCAGCTTTGCAGATGCATACGAATACAATCATAGGCAGCTACAAAAAGCAACAGGACGCTACGGAAGCATTTCTTGTCCCTTTCTTGTTCACTGGGTCGCAGTCCACTCTTTGCATTTCACACTGATGAAGGAATAAGTTAAAAGACCCAGTGGCTGATAAATATAAAGCCAATATGTATTTTTATCTTGAAGCATACAAACTAGAAAAATGCCAGCAAAACATCGCTTTTCCACGATACAAACAGCACACACGTGTGGCTGCTACTTCCGGAAAAGGGAGAATGCATAAGTCTGTTTGTGTTTTATCCCTTAGTTGTAAGCACGCCTGTGGGCTATTGTAAAAAACCTTACTTTCTCAAAAAATTTACTTCTGTGGATTCCGTCGGCTTCTGCGTCCGTGGTTACAGCTAAGAGATGAAAAGCAACTGGCGTGAACAAGAGTTAAAACCAGCTGCACACAGCACACTGAGATTCTAGCCAAATCAAAACTAATCTTGACTGACACAGCAAACCTCACTCATCCCTCATACCTGTCTAAATCCTTTCTCCACAGTTCCCTGCCAAATGTACACACTTAAATTGCTTTCTTTCAACATCGCGTACTTAAACTGAAAAAAAAAACACACAAAGAACAAACAATAAATAAAACGACCAGTGATTTCAAAAGACAACCAAGCAGAATTTGTAGCACGTAGAAAACAACCTCAAAGTTATCCTCAAAACAGCTTTTTACTCCGTATTCCCTAGATACGACAGCCTTTGCGTGACAAAGGCCCTCCATCAACATCTGGTTCACAGAATGACAAAGCAACAAATTAATCCAATATTCGTTCTGTCATGGCTTCCTCACTTGCAAACTGCTTAAGTATGCCGAAGGAGGTGTTGATTTCCCTAAGGCACTAGTAGGAAAGTGGCACTATCTCAATTAGCCGGATTAATTTTGAATCAAAGGTAAGACCCACAACTTGCCAATGTCTGTTGCGTAACATGGAGATCGAAATACCGAATTTACCGATGAAACAGGTTATGTTCTGTCCCTTAGCTGTAACCACAGAAAGAGAAATTCCTTGACAAAGCAAAACTTTGTAACAGCTTAGGAGTTGTGTTTACAGCTAAGAGATGAAACACTGACTGCTTCCCAACATAAACCGCAAATCTTTATTTTACAAGCTGTCTCTGAAACTCTTTTGAAGGCCTGTTCATCTCTAGAGAAAGTGAATAAGTGTAAGCACAAAAAAAAGCCATATCTGTATGAGCCAAATGCTTGCATCTTAGTGATGTTGCAAATTTCTTCTCTATGTTTTTGAAAGTCAAACAGAGTCCCCTCCGCGAAGACAGAACCGCATAAATTATCACCCAAATTGATACAACACAGAGGAAGTGGAGGCACACATAAAAAGCTGCTGGCAAAATAAAAACATGCACAATATATAAAACTATCCATTTGCGCTAGATGATAATCACGGATCATTAACTGCAGCGATCCATACAACAAGCGATGATACGGATTTTGCATGTGGCGCACAAAAAAAAAAAAAGAAAAACAAGTGGTAATCTGCACTATATAAGCATACTCAGTAAAAAATAAAAAAAGTGGTGCTGTAAAAGCACAGAAAATTGCTTTTAACAAAACGGGGAAAGAAACCGACAGCGAAGGCATCGGAAACGGAAACAGCAAACCAGGTGCCACCAATCAACCACACATTGACAAAATTGTCAACGATTTCTTTTTGCAAGACTTCCTCACGGAAGCACGCTAAGATGGCGGTTTTTCTGGCGCATATGCCAACATCAATTTACCAGCGAAACGAAATAACCAGCGAAACGAAAGAAGGCCAATTTACTATCGAAACGAAAGAACGCCAGCGAAACGAAAGAATGAGTTATATAGCATGATTGGTCATGCCGAAATAAGGAAGGGGGGAAGAAGTGCATATGCCTCTTTGTATAAGTTATAGCGTACGCACAGAACTATGTGAACAGCATATACGGCTAGTGAATGTGCACTTGAATAATCATATGAAGAATTTTTATCCAGCGGCGAAGGCGATGAATACACAATCCACGATGTCAGTTAAAATTTCGAAGTTATTTGAATATAATTCTGCCGCATTTGCAAGACGACATCAGTTTCAGATCAATCTGTCAGTTCTTTTTCTGAATTCCGCCAGCTGTTGCGCCAGCGGTTCGCTGCGCTGTCGCAATCGGGCGGCCACTGTTCAGGCCAGCATACTGATACTTAGCTTTTTTATCGGACGGTTTCAGGATCTATAACTTATGGCACATGAAATTAATCAATGGTGTAATCGCTCGAAAACTAAAAAGGAAGTCAAACGCCGCGTCTTAACCACTGAGTGATATTTAGTACAACTACTGAGTAACATTTAGTGCCTTTCAATTTCCCAAATGAGGTAGAATTTTACATCTCTTACTATGTTTGCTGTATCTTTTGATGCGCTAAATTTTCATGAACTAAATCTAAACCGCCCATATATGTTCATGCTTTAACTGCACAAATAGAAAGGAAACCTGAAAAGAACACATGAGTGTGTCATCAACACTCATCATACCGCCGGCGTTGTCAAATTCACCGCAATAGTTTGGGGCCGAAAACAGGGTGACAAGCTGACGTTTGGCAAAGAATTCATATCCGTCCTCCACAACCTGAAATCGCAACCTTTAGAAAGGGGAAGGACAGTAAAATAACTGGAAATTAAATTGCATCTGAACGTGCTGTTACATTACACCCAAACACTTTCAAGCAAACCGAAGAGGTTCAGCTTCGGATCAATGATTTCTTTTAGCAGCAACACTGGGCGCTAACGACCATCACAGAGAGAGAGAGAGAAAGAGAAATCTGGTCTTAAGCTGACCGTAATCTGTCTCCACGGCATGCTGCTAGACATCTTACTTGCGCAGAACCATAAGAAAAAATTGGCCAACGCACGGGCTGCCCGTGCGAAGATGCGTTTTTTGCATGGTTCCCCGTAG